ATCCCATTATCCTCACTCATCACTCATCACATCATCACTACACTCCATTATCACTATCTATCATCACTACCTCCCATCATCACTACCTCCTGCATCATCTTACCTCCTATCATCACTACCTCCCATGTCACTACCTCCATCATCACCTCCATTATCACTCCTCCATCATCACTACCTCCCATCATCACTACCTCCTATCTGTCCTTACCTCCCCTTCCTCCTATCATCCTACCTCCCATTATCTTTACCTCCCCTCATCACTACCCATCATCTTTCACCCTCCCATTATCACTACACTCTATCATCACTACCTGCCATCATCACTACCTTCCATCATCACTACCTCCCATCATCACTACTCCCATTACTCACCTCCCATCATCACTGCTCCCATCATCACTACCTCCCATTATCGCTACCTCATTATCACTGCCTCCCATCATCACTTGCCTCCCATCATCACTGCCTCATTTCACCACCCCGTCGTCACTATCTTTTCTGCCTCCGTATTCCACTGCACACATCATCACTACCTCACATCATTCTCCTCCCATCTGTCACTGCCTACCATCATCACTGCCTCCCATCTCACTGCATATGGCACTAGCCTCCTTAACTACACTCTGCATCATCACTGCCTCCCCATCTTCTGCACTCCCACATCTGCTTCCTCCCATCATCACCCTCTATCTGCCTCCCATTATCCACTACCTCATCATCACACCTCCCCTTCATCACTACCTCCATCATCACTACATTGCTGCTACTTACATCATCACTACATCATCATCTACTACCTCCATCATCACTACCTCCCATTCGCTACCTCCATAATTCACTCCATCATCACTACCTCCCATCATCCTGCTTCCCCATCATCTTTCACCTCCACAGGCTACTACCTCCATCCGTCCACATACATCCCATTTCTACCTCCTCATCATCTACCTCACATGTCACTGTCATCTCACTACCTCCCATCATCACTGCACTCACATCATCACTACCTCCCATCATACTACACTCACATCTATCACTACCTCCATTACTACTACACTCCATCATCACTACCTCCCATCATCACTACCTCCTGTCATCTTTCACCATTATCATTACTTCCCATCATCACTGCCTCCCACTTCTTACCTCCCATCATCACTACCTCCCATCATCCACCTCACATCATCACTACACTCCATCATCCTGCCTCCCATCATCACTACCTCCACATCATCCTTCCTCCCATCATTATTACTCCCATCATCACTACCTCCCCATTAATACTACCTCTCATCTCTTTCCCATCATCACTACCTCCCATCATCACTACTCCCATTACTATACCTCCCTTCATCTCTGCATTATCTCCCATCATGCTACCTCCCATCATCCTTCCTCCATTATTCACTACCTCCATCATCACTACCTCCCATCATCACTACCTTTAATCTCTTCACCTCCCATCATCGCTACCTCCTCCTTCTTTACCTCCATCATCACTTTACCTCCATCGTATCACTACCTCCTTTCTACTACACTCCCATCATCACTACCTCACATCATTCTTCTCACATCATCACTACCTCCCATCATCACCTCCCATCATCACTCCTATCCCTCCCCATCATCACTACCTCCTATCATCACTACCTCTATTCATCACTCTCCCATTACTACTACCTCCTATCATCCTACCTCCCATTCACTACATTTACCTCCTCTCATCCTTACCTCCCATCATCACTACCTTATCACTACACTCTGTCTCATACCTGCCATCATCACTGCCATCATCACTTCCTCCCATTATCACTACCTCACCACCCCTCACCTCCCATTATCACTACCTCCCATCATCTTTCTGCTCCCGTTATCACTCCCATTTTCACTACCTCCATCATCACTACCTCCCATCATCTACTACCTCCCATTATCTACTTCCTCATCACTACCCTCCCATAACTACTACACTCCCATCATCACTACCTCCCATCATCACTACCTCACATCATCACTACCTCCATCATCACTACCTCCCATCATCACGCACTCCCATCATCACTACTCACATCTTCTTTCCTCCCCATCACTTGCTTCCTCATCATCACTGCCTGCCATCGTCACTACCTCCCGTCATCCTCCTTTATCACTACCATCCATTATCTGCCTCCCCGTCATCACTACCTCATCGTCACTGCCTCACGTCACTATCCCATTTCTTACCTCCCATCATCACTGCCTCCCGTCATCTGCTACATCATGTCACTACCTCCCATTATCCTCCATCATCACTACCTCCCATCATCACTACCTCCCATTATCACTACTTCCCATCATCACTACCTCCCATTACTACTACCTCCCATCATCACTACCTCCCATCAACTTTACCTCCCATCATCACTACACTCCCATCATCACTACCTCCCATCATCCTACTTCACTGCACTCCATCATCCTACCTCCCATCATCACTACCTCACATTACTACTACCTCATCATCACTGCCTCCCATCATCTTTCCTCCCATCATCCTTCCCATCACTCATTCCTCCTCCATCGTCACTACCTCCCGTCATCACTACCTCCCGTCATCACTACACTCCCGTCATCACTGCCCATCATCACTCTGCTCCCATCATCTCTACCTGCCATTATCACTACCTCCCATTACTACTACACTCCCATCATCTTTACCTCCTATCATCACTACACTCCCATTATCACTACCTCCGTCATCTACCTCCCATTTCTCCCATCATCTACCTCCCATCATCACTTACCTCCCATCATCACTACCTCACATTACTACCTCCCCATCATCACCTCCCATCATCACTACCTCATCATCACTACCTCACATCATCACTACCTCCCATCATCACTACCTCCCATCATCACTACCTCCCATTATTCTACCTCACTCTCACTCATTCATCACTGCCTCACTCATCCCTTCCTCCATCATCACTGCACTCACATCATCACACTCCCATCATCTACCTCCCATCATCACTACCTCCCATCATCACTACCTCCCTCCTTCACTACCTCCCATCATCACTACCTCCTATCATCACTACCTCCCATCATCACTACCTCCCATCATCACTACCTCCCATTACTACTACCTCCCATCATCACCACTCCCCATCATCACTGCCTCCCATCGTCACTTCCTCCCATCATCCTACCTCCCTCATCCACTCTCCCATCATCACTACCCATCATCACCCTCCATTTCTCCCATCATCTCTACCTCCAATCATCACTACCTTTCATCATCACTACCTCACATCATCACTTTCATCCTATCATCACTTCCTCACATCATCACTACCTCCTATCATCACTACACTCCTCATCACTACCTCCCATCACTTCACTACCTCCCATCATCACTACCTCCCATCATACTACCTCCCATCATCACTACCTCCCATCATCACTACCTCCCATCATCACTACCTCCCATTACTACTACCTCCCATCATCACCTACTGCTCCCATCATCACCTCCCATCATCACTACCTCCCACATCATCACTCATCATCACTACTCCATTATCCCATCATCACTCATCATCCCATCTCTACCTCCCCGTGCCTACTGTCCCATTATCTGCACTCACATTCATCACTACCCTCATCCTTTCTTGCTCCATCATCTCACTCACATCATCACTACCTCCATTACTACATCCCATCATCACTACCTCCCATTACTACTACCTCCATCATCACTACCTCCCATCATCACTACCTCATGCATCATCACCACTCCCTTTCTTATCACTACCTCCCATCACTACTACCTCCCATCATCACTTCCCATTACTACTACCTCACATTATCACTACCTCCCATCATCACTACCTACATGCTACCTCCCATCATCACTACCTCCCATCACTACTACCTCCCATCATCACTACCTCCCATCATCACTACCTCCCATTACTACTGCCTCACATTATCACTACCTCCCCATCATCTTCCACTCCCATCATCCTTTCTTCCATCATCCCCACTACACTCATTACACTACTACATCATCTTGTCTTTCACACTCCCATCATCTCTCTCTCTCCTCATCACTCTATCATTACTCCACTCCACGTCATCACTGTCACCTCCCCATCATCACTACCTCCCATCATCACTACCTCCCACATTACTACTACCTCCATCATCACTACCTCACATCACTCTCCCATCATCACTACCTCCCATCATCATTACCTCCCATCATCACTACCTCCATCATCACTACCTCATTATCACTACCTCACTGCACTCACATCATCTTTCCTCCCATCATCACTCCCATCATCACTACCTCATTGCTACTACCTCCCCATCATCACTGCCTCCCATCATCACTGCCTCACTCATTCATTACTGCCTCATCCATCATCACTACCCCCATCATCACTCACTGCTGCTGCCTCTCGTCATCGCATCCCCATCATCACTCTTTCACATCATCACTGCATCATTCTACCTCCATCATCACTACCTCCATCATCACTACCTCCATCCATCACTACCTCACATTATCACTACCTCACATTATCACTACCTCACATTATCACCATCATCATACCTCCCCTGCATCTTTACCTCCCATCACATCACTCACTCCCATCATCACTACCTCACATTATCACTACCTCCCCATCATCACTGCCCATCATCTACCTCCCATCATCCCTACCTCCATCATCACTACCTCACATCATACTACCTCCCCATCATCACTACTCTCATTATCACACATTGTCTCCCATCTCACTACCTCCCATTACTACTACCTCACATTATCACCATCATCACCTCCCATTACTGCTACCTCCCATTATCACTGCATCCCATCACTGCCTCCGTCATCACTGCATCCCTTGCTACTGCATCACGTCATTCACATCCTCTCGCACTCATTGCTACTCCATCATCATTCACCTCCCCGTACTTTCTACCTCCCATCATCCACTACCTCCCATCATCACTACCTCCATTACTACTGCCTCCCATCATCACTGCCTCACACATTATCACTACCTCCACATCATCACTACCTCCCACATTCTACTCCCATCATCACTACCTCACATTATCACTACCTCCATCATCACTACCTCCATTATCACTACCTCCCATTACTACTACCTCCCATCATCACTACCTCCATTATCCTTACCTCCATCATCTACCTCCCATTACTACTACCTCCCATCATCACTTACCTCACATTATCACTACCTCCCATCATCACTACCTCACATTATCACTACTCACATTATCTGCACCTCCCATCATCACTCCCATCGTCACTTCCTCCCATCATCACTGCCTCCCACCTTCTCCTCCCATCATCACTGCCTCACGTTATCACTCCCCTCTGATCTCACTTCCCATCATCACTGCCTCCCCGTCACTACTTCACCTCCCCATCATCACTACCTCCATCATCACTACCTCCCATCATCCACTGCCTACGTCATCACTACCTCCCATCATCACTACCTCCCATCATCACTACCTCCGATTATCACTGCCTCCATCATCACTACCTCCCATCATCACTGCTCCCCATCATCTCTATCCCATCATCACTACCTCCCATCATCACTACTCCCATCATCACTCCACCTCCCATTACTACTACCTCCCATCATCACACCCTCATGCTACCTCCATCATCCTCTGTCCACCTCCCCATTACTACTACCTCCCATCATCCCACTACCTCCCACGTATCACTACCTCCCATCATCACTTTCACACTCCCATCATCTCACTGCATCCCATTGTCACTGCATACATTATCACTGCTCCCATCATCACTACATCCCATCATCACTCACACTCACGTGTCACTCTCTCATCCTTGCCTCCATCATCACTGCCTCCATTACTGCTACCTCCCATTATCCTTTCCTCCATCATCCCACTACCTCACATTATCACTGCACTCCACATTATCACCACACTCCCATCATCCTGCCTCATCATCACACTGCCTCCATCATCACTCCCTCCCATTACTACCTCCCATCATCACTTTCTCACTCCCATCATCACTACCTCCCATCCATCGCACATCACATTATCACTACCTCACACGTATCACTACCTCCATCATCACTGCCTCATCATCACTGCACATTATCACTGCGCCATCATCCTGCACTCATCATCACTGCCTCCCATTACTGCTACGCCCATTGTCACTGCATCACATCATCACTGCCACTCACGTATCGCCATTATCACTGCATCATCATCACTGCATCATCATCACTGCCTTACGTATCGTCACTGCCATCATCACCACACTCCTCATCACTGCACTGCCGTTACTGCTGCATCATCGTCACTGCATCATCATCGCTGCATGTACGTCATCACTGCATCATTGTATTTCCTCACATCATCCTACACTCCATCATCACTACCTCCATTACTACCACCCATTATCTTACACTCCATCATCTCCACCTCCTGTCACTACCTCACATCATCACTACTCCCATCATCCTGCCTCCCCATCATCCCTGCACTCACATTACTCACCCTCCCATCATCCTTTACCTTTCTCATCACTACCTCCATCATCACTACCTCCATTACTACCTCCCTTGTCCTACCTCCATCATCACTACACTCCTTCATCACTACTCACATTGCTCACTACACTCCATCTGCTACCTCCCATCACTACCTCACATTTCTGCTCCATCATCACTACCTCACATTCATCACTACCTCCACATCATCCTGCATCATCATCTTTCCCCTCCCATTACTACTACCTCACATCATCCTGCATCATCATCACTACCTTCCCATCGTCACTCTCCATCATCTTTCTTATATATCTCCATCGTTGCTGCTGCATCATCATCACCATATCCTGTCATCACTGCCTCCCGTTATCCACTGCTATCCTATCGTCACTGCACTCCATTGCTACTACCTCCACATCATAGCTACTGCTCCATCATCACTGCATCGCGTCGTCGCTTACCTCCATTTTCTGCCTCCTCCATCACTGCACCTCACATCGTCTAACACCTCATCATCACTACCTCCATCATCACTGCCTCACATCATCACTCACTCATCATCCTGCACTCCATTTTCTGCATCATCATGCTCACACTCACATCATCACTGCCTTTCTGTCACTGCACTCCCATCATACCCATCATCTGCCTCCCATCATCGCCACATCACATCATCACTGCATCATCATCACTGCACTCATCGTGCTACGCTCATCACTGCACCTCCCATCATCACTACGCCTGTCGCCGCCACGTTATCTTTGCCCCCATCATCACTGCATCCCACGTACTACTGCCTCCCCATCATCTTTCACACTCATCATCGCCTCACGTCATCGCCTGCCTCATCCATTCACTGCCTCCACATCATCCTGCCTCCATTAGTACTGCACTCCATCATCCTGCACTCCATTACTCTTTGCCTCTGTCACTGCCTCCACATCATCACTGCAACTTTCATCATCTCACCTCCACATCATCCACTACCTCCTGTCATCACTACCTCCACATCATCACTACCTCTATTATCCTACCTCCTATCATCACTACCTCCATCATCACTACCTCCATCCTCACCTCCATCATCACACTA